GAAAAACGGTAGACATACTTGCCGACGCTGCAATGAGCAGCGGCCCGTGGGGCCCCTCTACACTGCCCGACCAGTAATACTGCATGGTCTGTCCAAGAAAAGTCCTCGAAGTGTAGTGAACTATAACGCAGTTAAAATGCGAGGGACAATAACTACCCGGAAACAGCTGACATTCCCTTCAGTATCGAGGCCACGTGTAACGCCGGCACGCGGGCCTGCGCGTAGAGCGTTGTAGAACGGTCTGTGAAGCTGGAACTCGTGGTTCTACTTGCGTGTACGTTGCATCAGAAGGGCGAAGTCTGCGCCCAACAACTATGTCCAGCGTCAGTGAATGGGCAGGGCTTTGGCACACTCGCACGCACTCGCATGGACGGTCGCCTTGCAGCAAGGGTTGCACCAAAAGCGCGAAAGCTGATGACAGGCCGTGCCCTCTTCGCACCAAGCCCAGATATTTGGGTCGCTATGATTAAGCCTGATACAAACTAGCGGGGGCTCCTATATTGCGTCTTCCGCCTCAGGACGTTCCTCGACGAAGGTGGAGAGCTCACGGTACCAGGATCATCCAAGTGGAGAGCCAAAGGACCAAACAGAGTAGCGGGAAGGACAGAGTGCTCACGGTGAAACTAAGGAAGCTCTCACCTGAACAATTTTTACGCTATTTAGTTGCGGCTTGCCGAAGCAAGACACCGTTCCTCTGATTCATGGTGCACAATGCGTATCTCGTGAGCAGTAACGTCCGTGAGTTGCTGTTGGCCCTCCGCTGCTCCAAAATATTCACTTTCTGAAATACAGCACAGTTAGTTTCATTGCCGTCGTTTTTGAGTCGAGTTCGCATATAGCTGCAGAGGACAGCTCTCTAATTTGGTCACAATGCGGACAGTGTACTGTATTCTCACCTATGGACCGGTGCAATCGCAATGCCTATAATCATATATACGCAGAAGCGCTCCGCCTTAATCTACTGAAAGGATCACAATGATACCTTTCCGCCATTCTCCAGAGAACCTGTGCTCCTTAAAGGAACAGGTTGCCAACTCGGATGAAAAACCTTATTACTCAGCTTTTCCGGTGTACGAGAGGAAAAGACTGCTGTTNAGGTTGCCAACTCGGATGAAAAACCTTATTACTCAGCTTTTCCGGTGTACGAGAGGAAAAGACTGCTGTTTTGAGTACAGAAGGGTGTTTCAGGTGCCTTTCTTCGTTACCTAAAAATCTTTATCGCGGCAATTTGCTACCACAACGATAGCTCCACTCCTGACTCCTAGGGCTCTCTGATGTCTCCTGTTAGACTTTTGTGAGAAGCCTTGCTCAGCCTTGCTCACAATTGTGCGGCCATGCGCGTTGTTTAGAAACGCCGTTTAAATGCCTTGCTGCTGTCATCTAGGCTCTGGTATGGAAGAATACTGCGTTAGGAGCATGTGCTACAAACGTGCAGACTGCCTAAATTCGTCGCTGCTCCCAAATGCCAACTTTGGCGGTCGGGCTGAAACCACAAGTGTCTTGCAAGCAAGCTTAAGCAGTCAATGAAGAAAACAAAAGCTTGTAAACGACAGATTCTACACACGATGACGCTGTTCCCGTTATAAAGTCTAGACAAGCGTCACTTGTCTTCATGCACAGCATCTGTTTCGAAGAGCTAGTGCATCGGGAACAGTGTGCATCTCCATGAACAGCACAAAAAGACAAGTGACTCAGCAGGGAGGAGCGTTGCAATTATCACAGGAAGTTAAGGGCGTTCCATGCAGCTTTATTGGAAGGATATGGGAGGTTTTCCTTGACCTGAGCAGGCCTCGTTAGGCCGCCCTTGGTTGGAGTAGGAGAAGTAGAAAGGGGAGTCTGCTGAGGCTTCATGAGGGAGACCGATCGGGAATGCTGAGAAGACAGCAACAGCAAACGTTGTATGCATTAGTGCTTAGTTTTGTGTCAGGGAGCGGTGGTGTATGTCAATCAGAAGGCTCCCACTTACGTGAACGCAATCGAGCGGATAGGTTGTCCTCTCAAATGCATGCATGTAATTGGGAGGCAGCGGCGGATGGGTCCACAGACTGCGCTTTTCAAATATATTCAGGAGCATCTGTGTCGTTTCTCTTGCTGCCTCCACTTCGTTCGCTGGCGGATTCCAGATGCATATCTGCACATCGGATTTTGTAACGTCTTTCATAGAAAACGAAGGACGAGCTAACTCTTTCTCTGGTAGTGCCGGCGCTTTTACGAACTCTACCTGAGTAAAGTGAGCACAAGAAACAAGTGCACGCTTCAATAGCAGTGATAGGGAGTTCAGCTTGCTCGTCTCCACGTTGAACAGAGAGGCGAATCATGAAACCAAGAAAACAACAAGACGTTCCACACGTGGTCGGCTTACATCGGCATGCCTCGTATTGAACACCTGCTTTAGCGCCTTCTTGAAATGGGGTAGCAGGCATTCCCGTCGGATGAGAAGGTCCTTTAGCTCGTTCTCTTTGCTTTGCAAAGCTTCCTCTCTGTGAACGAATGCATGTAACAGTGGGTTGATCAAACTGGGAATGTTGGCTTAGCATTATCGTCGCGGTCCNTGTGAACGAATGCATGTAACAGTGGGTTGATCAAACTGGGAATGTTGGCTTAGCATTATCGTCGCGGTCCAGTCGACAAGCAGCCCAACGTCTTTGAGGAAGGTGCGCTGTTGGCTGAAGTCAGTCAGGGAGGTGCCGATACCTCCATAAGTTACCTGCTTTCATCTTGCATTTGCCTTGATAATGCCGCACTGATTTGGTCACTGGCGCTGGTTTTGATGTCGTCCACAGGCTCTTCCTCCGGTGGGGCTCCCGGTGCCTCCGCGTACAGTTTTTGCATGTCTTCCCAGAAATCCGTTGTTTCTCCCTCCTTGCTGAACCATTCGCTCGCGCCCAGTGGCTGGGGAGGCTGTGGCAAACGGTAGACAGGCCGGCGACATCGCAACACGCTACACTCATTGAAACCTCCAAGAGTATGCAGGATGAAGGTCCTGGGCCAAAACACACAATATTGTTGGGCCATTCAAAAGGGCAAGTTGATGCAGACCCTTCAATGGATACAGGCATACATTTCAGGTTATCAAATAGTTCGAAAACATATACAGTGGCATAAAAACATGCGGCAGTACTCAGCATGCAGTGCCTATAACGCATGCAGGAGCTTTAAAATTTGCAGTGCAATCTAAAAACTTAGCACTTCATCACAGAATACGGTTTTAAGAGGATTCCGTACTTCAAGCCAGGAAATGCCTTTAGGGTATAAAATAGTAGAGAGGATGTGAAAACGCTGAATCGGCTGACTATGAGCTGCACAATGCCTTCCTGTGCACAGTGTGTGCCAGCTGGTTGACAAACGGCTCACCCGTCTGCTTGGATCTCCTGAAGCAGCTCGTCCTCATCCTCTGCCGTCACAACGCGGCAGTTTGCATGCAGAGCTGGTCTGAACCCCGAAAGCATGAGACAAACGAGAAGGTAAGAAAAGGGAAGCTGCTACTGCCAGTCCAGGCAGGCCCGAGCAAGTACGTACAACGCTCCGTCAACAGTGGGCGTGTTATAGTCCACTACAAGACTACTGAGCTTACTACTGCAGGCACACAAATGAGAAGATAAATGCAGCCGTCACGAAGAGGTGCTTATCCAGTGCTTAACCTCACCTGAGAAGCTCCCACAGGAATTCCCTCGCGAACTGCAGCTTGAAAACGATGATCTTATATACAAGCCAAGGGCAATATGCTCGCAAGACTTCCCCAATATCCCCCAAAAGACGGTGCGTTGAATAAGCAGCAAGGTCCAACTGAGACATATCGTTGAAATCCAGTACCACCGCCACTGCAACTCACAGCACGTACATCTTAACCAGCACTGAGCATTCGGTTGCTTTTCGCATCCCTCGTGCAATCCACGCGGATGTTCTGGCTGACTGCGTAAATGCTCCCGATAAGGAAATGACTACGGGCAATAGCATTACGGGCCTTTCCACAGGCAGCCGCCCTTCCCATCGGGCGACCTGCTGCTTACCGTGAGATATCTTTTCACCGTGGCGGCGAGAAGCAGCTCCCAATTTGCCCCAGGCGCGGTCGAAGACCCTCAGGAGGGTTCGTTGAAGCTCAGCGGGGGTAATCTGAAGATAAAGACTGGTCGGAATGANTCGAAGACCCTCAGGAGGGTTCGTTGAAGCTCAGCGGGGGTAATCTGAAGATAAAGACTGGTCGGAATGAGGTTGGCTACCGGGATATACACTGCAGGGTGCTTGCCATCCGCGGAGCGGTACGCAAGGGCCCCAGCTAGACTGGCCTCCAGCTCGAGCAAGGCATCATCAGAGGAGTGGCATGCGAAGCGCCTCCCCTGCTCTTCAATTTCAGCGAGGCTTTTCCTGAGAGAGGCGAGCCGAGCCAAGGAGCGGCAGGCTTCCTTCCTCGATGCCAAATCAGCGCTTCTTGAAATCTTTCCCTCTCGAAGGTAAAGCAGACGCCGCATATCCTCTACTACGTACCAAGCGCAGTTGCCGCTTAGCGAACTGATGAGAACTACAAACTTCGCTAGCTTCTGTTCGTACGCTGAGTAACACAACATACAAAGCGCCAGCTCCTACAACTAACCCCCGCCTCCTAAGGAAAGCAACAGTTTGCAGAGGCAGAGCCAGGCCAGCCTGCCTAGTACAAAAGTGTTTCAGGTTTGCTTAGGAAATACTTCTCCCCTCCAGTTCCCTAAAGGCATGCTTACGCGCGAAAAGATCCAGACCCTCCGGAGTCGCTGGCTCGTCTGATTGGGGAATTGACCCGACAACGAGGTGGCCCGTAGCGGCGAGGTGGGCTTTGACCTTTCCTCTTCCGCCATCTTTGTATTTCATTGGAGCCTTTATCTCTACATGAGAGGAAATATCATGCTCAGTTGTCTCGGGGAAGTTGCCATCATAGTAGCCTGCGAAAGCTTCAGCAACAGCTTCGGGATCCTCTGGCATAGGGGATGTGAAGGAGGCTTCTTCGCATACAGGTAGAACACGGTCCCCTACCTTCACTTCCCCTCGATACAACAGGCGCCCGTCGACGACTCGGGGCCACTCAGCAGCTTCCCTATCGACTCCAGCCTGCTCAACTGTATCGGGAGCGTGTAGGAGACCATACATCTTTTCAGTGACATGCTTCCCTCCCCTTTCCTCCCCCTTCCAGCAAGGGATTTCATTGGCAAATTTCATCACCATCCCCCTTGTGTGTAGGTATGCGACGGGACCTGCCAGGATTAGGTAGCTGTCGTGGGGGAGCCTGGGCTTAAAAAGTCTCCTGGGGAAGAAATGTGGGATGATAAAATGATAAGGAATAAGACCAGTGGCCTGTTCTTCCCGTTCTGCACTCAACGGGGTACCGGCCGCAGCGGAAGGCGGAGCCGACAACGTTACATGCCGAGGAAAGAGGAAAGTGGTGGAGTGGAAACTACTGAGGGTTCGAAATCGAGAGGAGGCTGCTTACCTTTACAGGGAAAAAAAGAGGAAAATGGTACAGGCTCGAAGCATGCCAGGCTCGGCGCATCGCAGCCGACCGCTCAGACCAACGGAGCAGTGGCCGCCTCTGCCCTAAACAAACGGTCATTTCGTTGCTGTTTTGTTAGATGCTTAGCGATTTCTTAATGTTCGGTTTTCTTAAGTTTTTCACTCAAGACGAGCAACCTAGCCGGTTCAGTGCTACCGAACGAAACTGGACCGTCGATTTCTGTCGTCGACTGCCGCACGCGCGGCGCATATCGATTTCCTGTGGCATTCGCCAATGGAGCCTTGTATTACCTTAAATACCCATCACTATCTGCAAAAGTTTATGTTTATATCGCTTCAAATGTGTTTAGACTGTTTGGTGCCGACCTGAGGGTGACGAGTCGCCTGTGACAAGATGTTCATCAAGCTCTCCGTAGGTGAATACAAAACCTGCCTGCATTCCATTCTCCACCCTGCTCAAGCTGCATGCCCCAAAACCCAGGATTACACACGCGCCAAAAAGGGGCCTGTACGTTTCTGTCGCTTATGGAGCTAACTAACTGGTGCCAGCCAGTACTCCGGCCATAGATCGCCTTGTAACTTTTTCTTGCCTTTTCATATTCTTAAAATACAGATCTTTAGGTCTGCCGTTAGGCCTTCCACGAAGAACTGAAATGCCTCTGCTTCTGCTGTAATGCTTGAAGCAATTTTTACACCCCGATTCAGCCGGATGTTTTCACTATCACTGTATCCGCATGCCCAAGCGGTGCTTTGTTGGGATAGAGAGCTACTCGCAGTCCTAATTATCAGCACAGCAGAAAATGCCTTTTTGCATCACACCTTAGTTGGAAGCAGTGCAGCGCTAGAGCGACAAGTTGTGTTAGACGAGATATGGATCCATCCTCAGCAAAGATGCTGCGTGGAAGATCTTGTCGTTTAGAAACTGCCACAGGGTGGGATGTGCCGAGAAAGGCACGCTTGACGCTTTCTTTAGCTTGGTTACTGAACCGACGCTAACCAATGCCGCCAAGCCAATTAGCAGGATGTACTTTATTTTAAAAAGCATTTGCGTGTATATTCATGGCGATAGTTCCTTGTTTCGGACGCCCACCTAGGAAAGCAGGGAACGCGTAAGACGATACTCTGTGCCTTATATATCTTATCTTCTGTAGCTCGAGAACAAACACCCAAACATCAGCATTTCATGGCCCCCCGCGAGTGCCCCCAAGACCAAAAAATTTCATGTCATGGGCCTAAAAATCCCCTTCCCCTGCCCCTGTAGGCCATTTCTCAATGACAACGGCTACAGCTGGTAGGCCACATGTTGCTGAAGAAGTTTACAAAGATTCATCCGCCGCAGTCTCATGCAGAAGGGAGACTACCAGCAGCTGAGGGCATCTTCATCACCCATCATTTTCACATAGTTTTGTATATAATCACTTCTCAAAGGATTGTTCTGCAGGCATGGCTGATCCGTAGCAAGCGTCTCATTTGACACAGAAGAGCAGTGTAGCGGCTCATGCGCACATTAGTAATTGCTTTGTTGGGCTGAACGCGCAATTTCTTGCACAAGACAAGCGGAGAAGAAGTTGCAAAAAATGATGGTGACCTTCACAGAGTACTTCTGCATAGTACCACTGCGCTTCGGTACCGTTCCTCCTGCGGCCTCTATTGGATTTTGTCGGAATCGACCGCTGCAGTTGCCGTTATCGGTGGTGTGTGTGAGCCTATGGCGGGGCGTGAGCCAGGCTAGGCG